TTACGAATCTTTCTTCATACGTTTTGTTAATTCATTTCCAAAATATTCTTCTCCCTCTTCTTGAAATTGTTGTTTCTCTACTTTTTCTTTAGTACGTTTCATAAACTATTAAATATTTATATATAAGAATATTCAATAGAATAAAAAATTTCATACATGATTTTGTGTGATATTATAATATAAGAATATTATATTTATAATATATATAATATTATATTATAATTATAAATATTATAAATATTATAATATTATAAATATTATTATTATAATAATAAATATAATATATAATTCTTTAACTTACTTTCATTTCTAAAATACTTTTTGATAACTTTGCCTTATTAACATCCATTTTTTTAATTTTTTTAATTTTAAGATAAAATAAATGAAATATAACGTAATTATTTATATTATGATTTTTAAATAAAAATATAGTTAACATATGATTAATATTTCTATCTTTTTCTATAATAAAATTTGTTTTAAGTATTAAAAATAAATTTAATTATAATGTATTTGAAAACTATCGTATATTATACATTGATTCCTAGTAACATGTTTCTTATTATAGGTTAAGCAACATTAAGCATTTAAAAGGTAGACTATATATGTATAGACTATATATGTATCTATATAACTATATATAAAAAAAAACAGTTTTGATTTAATATTATAAAATAAATTAAAATATAAAGTTTTAAATTAAAAATTAATAATAATAATAATATTAAAAAGAATAGTATTAAAAAAGAGTATCATTAAACTTAATTTTATGATAATAAATATACAATTTGCAATAAACAAAAATTATGATTTTTATAATTTTTATTAATAGATAAATTTTTATAATTTTTTATGATTATATTTAAACTTCATATAATTTTTACAGTGAATTAAATATTCATTATAATCATTAACTACTGAATGTATTAATTTATTCTTTCTCCTTTTTCAATTTCTTCATTTCTTTTTATTTATCTGAAATATATTAAAATAATAATTATATCTTTATATAATGCTTATATATAAAATGTTAATATTATTAAATTACATAGTATAAAATAACCAATATGAAAGGAATATTTATGACATTAAATAAGGATGAAAATAAAAAGGATACCTATATGATTAAACATCTACTTAATCAAAGATTTTGAAGTTTTTGAATTTTGTACTTCTATAGGAGAGGTTTCTGTTGGTGTTACTGAATCAAGAGGTTTTAAATCTTCTTTATTATGATGAAATGAAATGTCGTGAGCTTCTGCTAAGACTATATGAGAAAAATTTTTGTAAAAAAATTATTTAATTTCAAAGTGAAAAATATTGAATTTTATATTAAAAATTATAGTTGTTTAACTAAATGTATAGGATAAATTATATCATATAATGGCAAACTATATCAACATGATTCTATAAGGCATAGGAGGAATGATGCAAGAGTAATTTTATTGTTGCATCCTACCTCCGTTTTTGCAGTTGTATCAGTTAATACAACATCAGTTGTAGTAGGTGTATCATTTGTTTTTTGTTCAAAAAATTGAACTAACATACGAAAATATTCTGATTCAAGCACACTTTTCACTAATGGAAATTCATTAAATGAAATTTCCTTTTTGTTGTCTCCTGGTTTCACTGAAATTTTTAATGTAATATTGAAATTTATACTAATAATTTGTATTATAAATATAAAATTAAATAATAAAATACATTAATAATATATTTGTAATATTTTATATTTTTTTAGAAAAAAAAAAAAAATATAGACAAATTCAATACTCAAAAAATATTCAAAATTTTAATATTCATTTTTTATATAAAAAAATATTTTGAATTCAATTTTACAAGAAAATAAAATATGATTTAGAAAATAATGAATCTTAAATAATAAAGTTTATATTGCTTGCCATTTCTATAAGTAATATATATATACACATCTTAATGATTGTTTAAAACAATAATATTATAAAATAATAAATATACATACCACCATAAATGAAATTGTAGCTAACATTTCCATAGTGTTCCATTGTATTAACTGTTTCCTTTGTTTCCTTAGGGAAACAAACACAACCAACAATAGCAGCACCTGTAGTTGTATATATTAATCGTTTAAATATGCCTCCTCTAAGACTTAATATTAATCCTGATAAGCCACCTACACCAACAGCGCCTATTCGTGGCATAAGATTGGCTTGATCTTGAAGATAATCAGATATAACTATAAATATAAAAAATTTTATTGATATTAATAAACATTTTATATTTTATTTTAATTTGATATTAAATTTTATATTAAATATAAATACATACATTTGAGACTTTCTAAAGAACTTGAAATATCGCGAGAAATCTTATCTATTGTAAGTTTTATCTCACCCACTGTTTGTCGTATTTTTCTAATATTATCTTCCACAATAGAAGGATATTGTATGCTACAAAAAATTATGATTATCTGTCTATATCTGTATAAATTATTTGCAAATATATTGTTTTCTTAAAAAGAAATTAAAAGAATAAATTTATATTAAATAAATCACTTTTTTATAAAATTCTTCTATGAATAAGAATAGAAATACATTTATCAATATGAAATTACTTGCGCTTTACCATGGCATCTGCTTAGTATACCCATCATCGATAGAATAAATGGGTAATTCTGATGGTTTTATTAATTTCTTTCCTTGTATTTCATTACTACAAGGTGCAGGATGTTCTTCAGGAATTGGGGGTTTCATTGCTGGTACTGCAGCACATAGCCCACACGGCATCAAGAATTTCTTGAAAAACTTCATGTAAATATATATTTGATTTCTGTTTTCCATATTAGTAATAATATTTTAATTACTTTTGAGAAATTGTTTTTTGTATTTATTAAAATTATATTCAGTGATAAAATTAATAAAATTCATTAAAAAATTCTTTTATATTTTATTATATATTTAATCAATATAATTAATAAATTATAATTATTAAGATATAATTAAGAATAAAATATGAAATGAAAAAAAAATTAGAAAAACGAAATAATAAATAGTATCGAATGTTAAATAATATTGCATTGTTTTGTGATTACCAAAGTTCGTTGCATTTTTAGAATAAGATAATGATAACTCTCTCAAAAATACAAATTATATTAAAACATCTTAAATCATTCGTAAAAATATTTAAACATTATTTCGAAAATTATAATTTGGCATTGATAACATTATTTCACAGACTAAAAATTTTATGTATTAAGAACGCGACATCTAGCGCTATTTTTAAATGGCGCAATTAATTAGTTATATAAAAGAATATTAAATAGTTATATATAAGTTATATAAATAACTTAATAACGAAATAAATAACGAAATAATTATATAAAAGAAAATTAAAATTTTATTAATAAATGTTTATATTATGTAAATTTTATTAATTACTTCTTAATAATATAAATTTTCTTTATTATTAAAAATAAATTTTTAAAATATTTTTTACTAATAATATTTAAAAAAAATATATTATCAATTTCTATTTCAAAATTGATTATTTCAAAAATAATTATTTAATTATTGATTTTAAATTTTAATCATAAAAGCTAATTAAAGCTGATTAATATTAAAATTATAAATATATTCTTGAAATATAAATTTATTACAATATATAGAATCTACTTACTAGATATCCAATTCAATATTAACAAAAATTTATACAGAAATAAAACATAGGACTTAAATATTAAAATCAAAAATCGTTGTACATCTTGTATTTACAGTTTTTCATTGAAAATTGACATAATATATCAAGGTTTTGTTTATGTTGTCAATTCATAACGGTTAAAAAAAAGAAAATCGGATAGCTACGCAAATTTTATTTTTCCTATAATTATATGTTATTATATATAATAAAGATTAAAATGAGACTAAAATTTTTTCTTCTCTAAACATAAAATGTGTTGCCGCATTATATTTTTCGTTTTTAAATAATATAATATTCACATTTCTATTCATCCATAAATGAAAATTTATTTTATAATTTGTTAATTAATATTTTAATAGAGTTATAACAATAGACTAAAAAAATTATTACTTGAATACATACTTTTATACCAGTTCTTCCAAATTCTACTAGTACACCTGGTTGATAATCATCGCATCGATGTACTGGTTCTCTACATGTCACATCTTTACCAAATAAACTCCCAATAGTTGATTCTAAGAATCTGTGTACGTAATTGTTCATAACTATATATTTGAAATGTTAGCGAATTTCACTATTTAAAATTTTAAAAATTGAAATTTATAATTTTATATAAGGTCGAAGAATTTAACGAGCCATTTTTACGTGTGATTTTCCGCTATTTTCACACGTATCACTAATTTGTTTGAAAATATGTGAACAAAATAATACAGTTTTTTCTCATTGTGTCATTATGTTTAAAATATCTTTGAATATTCTAAGAAACAAGCATAATAATTTTTGCATTATTGCATCTTTGTCTCTGTATTATAAATTTTATAAAAATATTCATGATGAGAAACATGAAATATTTAAAAATAAAACTATCAATTATTAAATACTAATAGAATAATTTTGTTTATAGATATGTCATAGATATTTATCAAAAACTCAATAGATGAATTAATCAAAATTAATTAAAATCAAATTATTTTCTTAAAATTAATTTTTAATTATTATTAAATCATTAAAAATATTCTTTTATCTTCTAATTTAATAAAATTGATAACAGTTTAATACAATCTTTATATACATATTTATACATATATAAATTTTAATAAAATTTAGAAAAAATATATTAACATGTTCAATGCAACATCACTTTCACATTGATTATGTTAAAGTATAATACATGTAAAAATAAATTTACCAAATATAAAATAAAATCTTTAAGCAAAAATAAATATAAATTTCTTAATTAAAAATACTTTTTAAATTTTTTTATAGTTTCAATATTTTACTGAATTAATTTCATTTATAACTATATTTTATAGCAATATATTAATAGTAACTTTTATCTTAAAGCTAATGTTTCCCAAAGTTTATCTTTCTTCATAATATTAATAATCATTTCTTGACTAACAGACCATAATCTAGTTGCAAGTGCAGAATCTAGTGCAGCATTTGATGGATCACAACGATAACAATTATTGAAATAACATCCAGTTACACCTTCCAATTCTGGAGCAGTTGCACAAAAAATTGATGTACTAGCAGCTTGTTGCTGTAAAATTTTAAATATTATATAATATTTATTAAAAGAAGAATTCTTAATAATAAATAATTTTTAATAGTTAAAATAAATTAAGATTTTTTTTTAAATAAATTATCATACCAGTGATTTTGTAAAAGGTCGTACTAGCATGAATAATAATCGTAATGTCCATGAATAACGAGACAATGAAGAAGAAACCATATTACCAGGATGGCAACTAAAAACATTTACAGAAGGCCAATATTTTGCTAATTCTTGTGCAAATAAAATATTACATAGTTTTGAATTATTATATGCTCCCATAAACCAATATTTATATGCAGGAGGAGATAAACTTAATTGATGAAAATCTTCTACTGTTCGTAAAGATGAAAATCTGTAAATAAAAATAGAATATCAGTTATATTATATATCATATATATATTAATAAAAAATAAAAAATTATTATTATATAATATATGCAATGTTGAATACCTATGTGATTCACTTGAAACTATTACTACTCTAGAATTATGACAGCTTCGTATTGGATGTTCTAATAAGAGAGTAAAGTAAAATTGAGATAGATGATTTACTTGAAATGTTGTTTCATAACCATCTTTTGTAAGTTGATAAGGAATTGCAAATACTCCAGCATTTAATATAAGAATATGTAAAGTCCTAAAATTTTAAGATATATTAGTAAATCAATAACAAATTATATAATATTAATCAAATTATAAATTAAAATGATTAAGTTTTTATGATAACATTGACATTATTAATAACTTATTAATTTATAGTATACATATATATTTTTTATTAATTTATAATATACCTATATTGTTTTATTAATTTATAATATACCTATATTTTTGTTTAAATTTTTCAGCTGCTTCTCTAACACTATGCAATGATGATAAATCTAAATGCAATGTTTCACATAATATATTTTCTCTTTCTTGTTTTATTTTTTCTACTGCTTCTGTACCTTTTTTTAGATCTCTACAAGCTATAATAACTGTACAACCATGTAGAGCTAATGATCTAGCAGTTTCAAATCCTTAAAAATTATAATAATTTCATAAACATGATATTCTAAATTATTTATATAAGATTATTGTTAATCACAAATAATTATAATAAAACATGAAACAAAGAAATATAATACCTATTCCAGTATTAGCACCCGTAACTATAGCAATTTTGCCTCTTAAATCTCTTCCATGTAAAACAGATAATGCTGTACTACTACCATCAAAACGTTGTCTCATAGGATGTGATAATTCTCTATATTCTGTAGCAAATGCAAGTCTTGGATCTGTATAAGTTGTTGTATGATTTATGTGATCAACAAATAAAACTTGACCATCTTCTGCTACACGTCTTTCCCATCCAGATGGTAATTCTTAATTTCAAATTTTATTTATAATTATAAATTTTAGATAATAACTTTTTAAAAACTGCATAATTGATTATTAATCAAAATATATAGAAATAAATATTTAAGTAATAGTCATAATATAATAATATTTTATATATTATTATTGTAAACATATAAATTTATTTATATAATTTTCTCTACTCAATATAAATAGTTAATAATTTAAATATATATGTAAATTTATATAATAGTAGTATTATACCTCCTTCAACAGTTTTTGTACGACCAGTCCTAGGATGTGTCCATTGTGTGCCTTTTGTATAATGACTAGAAAAATATAATATTATAACTTATAAATAGATATTTTATAATTATATTATAAATATATAAAATCTTTAATTTATTTCATATTAATATTTAAAGATTTGATATATTAATTTTTATTAATAACTATTAATGAAAATAATAATAACAATAATATATAATATAATATTATTTACTTTACATAATAGACATTTCCATTTGCAGTTGTCATTTCTTCCCATCCAGGTGGTAATTCATCTTCACTGTCAGAATCATTTAAAATACCTATCATTTTCTTTTGAGATTTTTATTTTTATTATTTTATTTAAATTTATAACTTTTGACCACTTTATTCGTGATCGTATGATTTATTAAATTGATAATTTATATATTATTCATGTATAACAACCATTCATAATGGTACATAATAACTATTACCAACATTATAATCAGAAAAAAATATGATAATAATATTAATAATAAAATAAATTTTTTTATTAAAACAGAATAATTATAAATTACGTTTATTAAAATTATTGCATAATTATTTTAATTATAATATATAATATAATTTGTATGTTGTAAGAAATATATATATATATATATGTAAATTATATATATATTTATATATAATTTTAATAATTAGAAATATCATAAAGAATATATTATTTAAATAATTCAAATTTTAAAAATTGAAATAAAAAAGAATGAATGTAAACTTCGCAAACTTAAGTTTGAATATAATTTGATTTCATTTTGAATGAAGTTAACTGTGAACCGCACCCGCATACAATCGATAGCAGATTTCATTTATGTCAAATGGATAATGGCAGCGACAGCAATTGATATGATGTTGCAAAGTAATGGATTTCATTCAAAGAAAAAAGAAGATTCAGAAAATAAAGATAATTTATGGTATGTTTAAAATTTTTTTTAGAAATTTTTATTAATATAAAGTATACATACTCTTAAACAATTGCAAATTGTAAATATTTTATTGTATTTTTTGTTTTATATTACGTTAAAAAGTCAGAAAATTAATCATTTTTCTTGTATTATTTTATATATATGTTTTTTATATATATTTTTATAGGTCTTCTATTTTGGCTGAAGTACAAAACAGTAGCAGTAATAAATTACCCTCAAATAAGAATATTCTTGTTTTAGGTAGGTTTGAATCATTTTTCTTAATTAATATCAAATTCTGAAAAGATATGATGTTATATGTATACATAATATAATATATATGTATACATAAAATATGTTCATAAATGTAATATTTTAATGATATATTCTATATTATTAGCTTATTGATTTTCTTTAAGTTTTTAAACTTTTAATTAATTTTTCTAATTATTTTATATAAAATTTTATATTACATATATAATTGTATAAATTAAAAATTATATATAATTTTTTTATTATTTTTTACTGTCTTTTTTATTTTTTATAGTTTATAAAATATATTGTAAAAATATTAATTAACTATATAAATTCATAACTAAAAAATTTAAAAAATATTTATAGGTGATAATGAAAGTGGAAAAACAACACTCATTGCTAAATTACAAGGTGTAGAAGATCCAAAGAAAGGTTCTGGTTTGGAATTTGCATACATTGATGTGAGAGATGATTATAGAGATGGTAATATTGATTAAGAATTTATAATGTCTTTAATTATAATAGATAAAAATTAAAAAATTTTAATATTTAATTTATTATTTATTTAGATCAAACAAGATTATCTGTTTGGGTATTGGATGGCGATCCTGGTCATGCAAATCTTTTAAGATTTGCATTAAATGCAGAAAGATTTCCACATACCCTTGTTATGTTAGTTGCTGCAATGACAACACCATGGGCTATTTTGGATCAACTTCAATCTTGGGCTGCTCTTTTAGGAGATCATATTGATAAATTACCTTTAGATAATGATACTTGGCAACGGTGTAGGCAATTAAGTAAGTCATATTTTTAAATTATTTTATTTATTATTTTATTTATATCTAAATAAAAAAATTTATTATTTTATTTATGTCTAATTACATAAATAATAATATAAATATATTAAAAATTGATTTTTATAATTTTAGTATTTTAAAATTTTTAATAATAAAATAATTTAAATATCTTATATATTTAGATGTAAAAAAATGGCAAGATTATACAGAACCTGGAGATGAATTAGATCCTGGTAGTCCCTTAAGACGTACTAGTCGTAATTTGGATGATGATACAATGGATAACTTACCATTACCAGAAGGAGTACTTACAACAAATTTGGGATTAGATGTTGTTGTTGTTATTACAAAAACTGATTATATGTCCACGCTTGAAAAAGAACATGATTACAAGTAAGATTATATTATGAATTATATTAATTGTTGAAAGAAAATATTCTTTTATTAATTTTAATTTTTTTAGAGATGAACATTTTGATTTTATACAACAATGGATAAGACGATTTTGTTTACAATATGGTGCAGGATTATTTTACACATCAGCAAAAGAAGATAAAAATTGTGATTTGCTTTATAAATATCTTACACATAGAATTTATTCATTACCATTTAGAACACCTGCTTTAGTTGTTGAAAAAGATGCAGTTCTTATGTATGTAATTTTTCGTAAAAATTGAAGTAAATATTTATGATTTTTTATTATTTTAAAAATATTTTTAATTATAGTCCTGCTGGTTGGGATAATATGAAAAAAATTAGCATTCTTCATGAAAATTTGCAATCAATGAAACCTGATGATTATTATAGAGATGTTATTGCACAACCATCAATAAATAGAAAGGTTTTGAATATATATAAATATATTTTTTATATTAAAAATTTTTTTTAATATTAAAAATTTTATAATAAAAAATTATTTTATTAATTAGTGTGTAGCTAGAGAAGTAGAAGTACAAGCAGAAGAAGAACAAGCTTTCTTAGCAAAACAACAAGCTGCATTATTAGGTGTAAAAGATCCAACACGTTCTCCCACAACCAGGAATCAGGCAAGCACTGGACCAGTTATTCAGGTTATACCATTTATAATTGGAGCATGCTTATCATATTACATATAGTTAATCATTCAGCACTGAATAACAATGTGGCTAATTTATCTACATTATATATGCTGTTATCATATTTTCATTTTTTAACAAATAATACTTATTACATTAAAATTATTCTGATTGTAATAATTCAAAATGATTTTAATTGATGTATTTCAGCATATATTGCTTTTTATATGCTTTTGGGAGTAATTGTCTGATATAATATTTACATTTCGTAATTAATTTTTTGTATATTAATGTTAAAATCATTAAATGTTTTTCATGTTCATTGAGATCATCTAGATGAATTTATGTATTGCTTATTGATCATTTTACATTCTTATATTTAAATTAATAAGTTTTCTATTTTATAATTATAATAAATAGTTTCAAAATTATATTATGTCAAATTATATTTATTTACATTAAGTTGATGTTGAAAATGAATGTTTATGGATGTTAATATGTGTATTTTGTTAAATTTACAGTATAGAAAAAAAAAATGTATTTGCAACTTCTTGATATTGTAACAGTCTAAATTTCAATTATTTATTTTATTGTTTAGTAATATGGATTATTAATCTTAGTTCATAATTTTAGTCTTAGTTCAATATCTTGGAGATGCTTTTTTGCAATGAACAATTAAAAGCATGTTCTAATTTTTGTGGTATGATCTGTTATAGTTATAACAGAAAATTTTTTGCAAGTATTAAATATTTTTTATATAGGTAGCATCGCCAAATAAAAAACTAGATCCTAAAGGTACTGGATCTACACAATCTGGAGAAGGTGTTTTAGCTAACTTTTTCAATTCTCTTCTTCATAAAAAGACTGGAAGTCCTGGATCACCAGTTGGTAGTGGCATTGGCACAAGCCCCATAAAAATTGGTAAGTATTCAATTCATTATAAAAATTTAGTATATATTATAGATTCTTATAATCAATCAACATAACATAAATTTGATTTATCATTTATTTTAGATAGTGCATCAGTAGATAAAGCAACTATGTGTAATGATGCAGCAGTGGAATTAGATCGCCTCACTCGAACGAAAAAGATTTCTCCTCCTAATTTAAATTCATCATCTGAATGTTAAAGAAAATATTTTTTCTTTGCGATCCAAAATATATAGAAATAAAAATCAAGAATATGCAAGTATTTTAATAAAATTTTGAAAATGACTTAACAAATATATAATATATTCATCTGATTTTTATCATATTATTTGCAATCATAATTAATATAATTTTTTTGCTTTATTAATGATATTGACATATTTCTAAAGAACTTGTAATATTTTATAATAATGATTTAAAAGAAAGAATTTTTTATTTATATACATTATATTTTATAATATACATGTTATAATCTAACATATAATTTTATTATTAATTCATTTAATTATTAATTCAATTAAATTTAATATATTTAATTCAATACATTTTTTTATAATTATTCATAATTTTAATTTATTATAAATAATAGTAAAATATTTAATAAATTTTTATTCAACATCTAATAATTAATTAATTACATTGTGCAAAGCATAAATATTTAATTGAATTTATTAAACTAAAAATATATAATATTATATTAATGCCTTATGAAATTATTATAGAATATTATATAATAAAGCACAATTATATAATCTAATATTTTTTTAAAATAATTTTCTTTAAGTTAAGTAAATGATGCATTCTTTATTAAAATTCTTTATGTATTCCTAATATGATATAGATATTGAGATAAATCATTGACATAATGTCAATAGTGTTATGAATTTAATAAAAAATTTTATTAAATAAAAATGGATCGCAAAGAATTAATAAAAAATAATCTGATTCAATTCATAACGCGAAACAGGGGAAACAGAAAATAAGAAAGTGTAATAAGTTTTGGTTCTTTTAATTGATTAAATATCAAGAATAATATAAAATAATAGTTAAAGAATAATTAAATTAATGTAATTAAATATTTAATATAATAATATATTCTAATTATATGCTTATGCACATGTTCTTATACCTTTTAATAATTAATTATTTAACAATCAACCATAAAAAAAAAGATTTTTTTTATTACTAAAAAAATTTTATTTTACTTCTAAAAGAATTTTAGAAGTTAAAAAAAAGAATCTTATTTTATTATTATTATTATTATTTTGTAACTTCAATTATCATCAATGTAGTTTTCTGTACATGAATTGAATTTTTGTTGAAATTTTTAATCAAAAATAAATAGTTTTTCATAAATATGATGTTTATTATAACTATAATGATATATTTTAATGCAAAATTTTGATATTTTTTATTTTTAAACACAAAAAAAAAAGATAAAAATATTTATATTTTCTAAACTTTGTACTTAATATTTATTACGTTTATTTTATTTTTTACGTTTACGTTTATTTTTTAATATCAAATATTTAATAATCTTACAATATAAAAGAATATTTATAATTTTATGTTTTCATTGCAAAATAAAAAATATCAAAGTAATTAAGCATTAATAAAGTTACAATAGCTTATATAATTTTTGTAATTTATATAAAATTATTATAAAGTCAGATAAAAATCAGAATTAAATAATTTTAATTAAATGATTAAATATTTGCTTTACAACAATTATTTCTAAAAAACAATACAATAGGATCATTATTTAAGAAAAGAGAAAATAAAAATAATTTTTATCTTAAAATATAAATTTTAAAAATGCATAAAATTATATTTATAAGTTATGATGATTTTTTTGGATAATGATTAATAATAAAATTTTAAGATCCCACTGTAATGTTAATATGTTTAATAGTTTCTAATACTGTGTATATAATATTAATATTTCAATATAAAATGTAAATAAAATATCATTTTACAGAAATATTACGGCATAGGAATGATTCTAACACTCTATATTGCCTATTCACATTTTATCTTCTTCAAGACTCCTAATTAAAATAATTAATTTATAATAATATATATATATAATATAGATATTTTAATAATAAAATATATAATAGGTACTATGAATTGTTTAACAATAAAAATTTTGTTATCAATAATAACTTGACAAAATACTTAAATATTTTCATTTATCATTTATAATTTTATATATCTTTTAATTTGATAAGAATATACATGTGTAAATGTTTTAATGTAATTTTATTATTTATTATTTTTTATTGCCAAGATAAATTATACATGATTTAAATTCACAGAAAATGGAGTCTTAAATTAGATTTTTAACATTCAATTATAAATATTAATCTATTTTAAATTTAGTTAACAAAGTTTTTCTAAATATAATAATTACTTCACAAAAACTTTTAAAAAGAGATTGTGAATGGAAGAACAATGGATTAAGAGCACTATATCATATTTGGATATTCACAATAAAAATCAATTTATAGGTAAAACCATAGATATCTATGCTGTGTATTATAATTATTTTTATTATTTAATCTTATTTAATTTCTTTTAAATATTTAAATGTATTTTAATGTATTTTAAACATATTCATTCAATTTATTCAAAAGAAATTATATTATTATAAAATCATTTTCTAAAAATAGAAAAGAATTTTAATATTGAAAATTTTGATATTAATATATATAATAATATATTATAATAAACACAAACATTAAATATATATATATATATAT